TCAGTGACATGGAAATTGCAACACCAAGAAGGAGTAGGAATTTTTTTACCAAACTTGGCAGAAACGTTTAACTACTAAAAGGTAACAATTGATTAAAATTTCATTCATTTTTTTCTACTAATTTTATATGGTGTATGTTTTGCGAGATTTTGTTCAGTTCTTATTGTTTTCGCTTTTAATCATTTCTTTTGAGGCTGTGATCATGCCTAGAATACGTCAACGTGGAATTTACCACGAATTAAGAGAAGTCGACAGCTGTCGTATTGTTGGTTTGGACGAAAGTGGTTTTTCTGCCAGAAAAATTGCAAATCACCTTAACCTAAACCAATCCACTATGATTCGCTGCAATCAGGAATGGATTTGGGAAGGTCAGGATCATCGCAGAGTGGAAACGGAGGGGGGGAGGGCGAAACAGAACAATTGAAGTACAGGACCGCCATCTTGGACTTATGGCAACAAGAGACCAATTTTCTAGTACCAAGTCAATTGCTGATCAATGGTTAGCTAAAGAAGGTCGTCCTGTAACACTTCGAACGGTTTACCACAGAATCAGACCTTACGGCTTGCAATCCTATCGGCCACATCTTGTGTTTCCATTAACAGCCCAACACCGCAAGCAGCGTTTGGAATGGTGTAGGGTTGCGACTGCGCTGGAACCTCAAGTGGCATAGTGTGGTGTTCAGTGATGCATCCCGATTTTGTTTGGGTATACACGATGGCCGTATGAGGGGCAGCCAAAGACGTGGAGAACGTCGAAATGTTGAATTTTCTGTTACTAGGCATGTGCACCAAGCTGTGGGGACTATGGTATGGGGTACTATAACTTATGGAAGTAGGTCTCGTTCGTTATTCATTGGAGGTAATATGAACGCCCAGCGATATGTGGATGACGTGATAGACCCCGATATTCTTCCACTTCTTCAGCAGTTGGAAGACCCACTTTTCCAGCAGGATAATACCCATCCCCATATTGAAAGACGTTCTATGGAGCTATTTGCACATGATAATGTCAATTTCTTGCCATGGCCATCTAGATCTCCCGATATATCGCCTATCGAGCATGTTTGGGACATTATGAAGAGAAGATTGATGAACTTACCGCATCCTCCGCAAGCTCTAAACAATGAATTACAGGTTGCTTCAGTTTCTTGGTACACAGTACCTCAAGAGCAAATCGACCGTCTTCTAAAATTGATGCTACGAAGAGTGAGGGAGTGCGTAACCAATAGGGAGGGACTATTATTATTAGTAATAATAAAAATATGTTTATATTTCGTTCTTTTTCTTTTAAATTTTAATCAATTGTTACCTTTTAGTAGTTAAACATTTCTACCAAGTTTGGTAAAAAAATCCTACTCCTTCTTGGTGTTGCAATTTCAATGTCACTGAGTATAGTATTCTTTATATTTTTGTTAAATCAGAGCCAACTAATAATGGAAAATAATAATTGGGTAACTCGCCCAGCGCGTGATTGGACACCCTGTATAATTCACAGAATAGTGTCAATAGATTTTGTGAAGTTACTGACAGCAGTTTTTAAGGTTAGGTTCATAAATTTACAAATTTATTTAAATTATTTTCTGAATAAAATAGAGAAGCTATTGCCGTTTGAGAATGGTAATACATAACATTTATATTTTCGACCGTAACGGAACATTATTACATTATCACGAGTGGAATCGACTGAAGCAGTCCGGTATGACCAAGGAAGAAGTATACATTACCATTAAATTGTAGTAAATCTGCTTTTTTGACGTTCTTTTTTTGCAGGAAGCGAAGTTAATGTATGGCATGCTTTATTCAATTAAATCATTTGTAAGTAAAATATCGCCAACAGATATGAAAGAGGGTTTTTTATACTATCGAACGTCAAAGTATTCACTTCACTTCCTCGAGACTCCTTCAGGTTTAAAATTCGTACTAAATACTGATGTTAATGCGCCAGGTGTTAGGGACTTATTACAACAACTTTATAGTCAAGTAAGTATGACGGGTGGAAGTATATTTTGATGTTGGTGTACTTGTAGGTGTATTTAGAGTATGTGGTGAAGAACCCTTGCCTAAAACTAAATGAACAAATACAGTCGGAATTATTTAAGGCGAAATTAGATCAGTTTGTCAAAGACTCTGCTCTTTATTTATCAAAAAATAATTAGTTTAATATTCTAATATTAATTCCACATTTTGTTTCTATGAGATGGTCTACTTAATCTTGATCACTAGTTGGTAGCGGTACTTTGTAAGGTACATTTGTTGTGTGGTGCTGAAAATTCAGCTACAATATAAAATTTATCGTCAGGAAATGTAGCCACCAGTGTATTTATTGTGGGGTAAGGCAGTGTAGTCTTTAAGCACCTCTAAGGATGTTTGTGCTGCTCTTACTCGTTTTAGCCAATTGAAGAAACTAATTATGGCTTTGAGGTTCAGTTCTCCTATCTTGTGCAGTTTCAGGTTATCACCGGCAAGGTCATTTAGCCTTTGCCCTCTGCAGCAGTCTCGCATCTGCATATAGAATGTGTTCAGTGGTCTCATCTGGGCTGTGCATGTGGCCTCCACCGCTGCACCATGCATGTAGATGGTATTTAAGCGGTATACAGCCTGGTAATGGTCTTTCCTGTTGAGGGCTGAAGCAAAGAAGGGGTACTCTTTGGCTGAAGCAAAGAAGGGGTACTCTTTGGCTGAAGCTTCCTTAGCTTTTTCGCCTTGATGAATAATTTGGCTTGTTGCTGTTCTGCCACCCTTCGCCAGTGATGGATCCTATTAATCTCCACCCACTGGTTTAGGGCCTCTTTTATGTGACTTGTGTAGTTCACAGAATCAATCCGGCACTATTGGCTTGCGCTTGGTTCCTTGTTTGCTCAGTTAATCGCCTTCATGTTGCCTGTAATGTCTGAATGCCCTGGCATACACCATAGTCTGTTATTGTGGTCATGGCCAGGTCCTCTGCATACCATTGTACATAGTTACCTTTTATGTTAGCATGGTTAGTAGGTCATCAACCACATAAGTTCCTTTTTGATAGACACGTTGTTGGAGGTGGAGCAGATGTCTTGTTAGAACATCGCTTTTCAGGAATTGGTTTCTAGGAATTTTTCCACCAAGACAGAAACAGAATTAATGTATTTTTTCACGAAGGATCCACGAGAGACCTTTGATATGTATGAAGTTAGCGTTCAACGTACGTTATTGCGCTTGACTAATGCTAGAAAGAGAGTGAAGTAATACGTGGAACGCGAATTTCAAAGGCTTAGTGGATCCTTCGCGAAAAAATACATTGCTGTTTTCCTTTGGAAGAGTGATACTGTCTTCACCATGCGCCTTAAAGTGTTTGAAGACCGTTAGGGCTAATTCTACCCTCTTCTGTGTCAGAGCTGGGTACTGCTCGCGAGCGTTTCGCTTGAAAAAGCGCTCCAAGCAGAAAAAGCGCTTGCGCGCGAGCACTTCGGAGCGGCCACCTGGTGCTCGATACTCGAGCGTTTACTTAAAGTGCTCGGCGCTCGAGCGTTTTTTTCTGCTCGCGAGCGGTTTTTCCGTTCATGGTCGTTTTTTTTTTCGCTCGCGAGATTTTCCGCCCTCGAGTGCTTTTTCCGCTCCCTAGCGCTTTTTCCGCCCCTGAGCGGTTTTTTTCGTTCGTGAGCGCTTTTAACCCTCCTCAAGCGCTGAAGGATTAAGCGCCGCTCGCGAGAGTTTTTTCCGCTCACAAGCCGTTTTTTTCCGGCCCCGAGCGCTTTTTCCCAAGCGCTCGCGCTTTTGTATGAGCGTAATCGCCACATCGGTTCCCTGGACGGACGACTGGCGATTGCTAGGGGGTGCCTGCGCCTTCGGCCGGTTGTTCCGTTTGGCGCTTTGGCCTTTTTGTTCCTACTCTTCATTTGGCCACTCGTGCTGGCTTCGTCGCTCTCTTGGAAGTGGCGGTATACTAGCCTATTAGGCTTGATTGCCGCTTGTCCAAATCTGAACCTGGCTCTTAGGCCTGTCTGCTCTACGCATGTTAGCGAGGGTTTGAAAACAATCATCGTTCCACTCTCTCTTCAGCACTCGCCATCCCTTATAGTGTTGAAGCCGGTTTCTGCAACAAACCAAGGATCTCTCGTTGGTGCTGTCCGAAAGATAGGCGTTCACAATAGTCGCTTTTGGAATCTTTTTCTCATCGACAGCTGTTAGCTGTTCCACCTTGGGCTTAGGTTTTTTAACAAGGTTGACCCCCCACGGCCTCGGGTCCGTGAGAGATGACCACAGACGATGTTCTAAAGATCGAGGCAATGCGTGACTTTTTAAATCTCATGAGTTGGTAGTTTTTGGGTGCAGAAAAAGTTATAGGAAGAAGTGCCCCCGAAAAAGAAGAGCTCTGGGGACTTTGGTCGGCCCTGGGGCCCCTGGGAGTAATTACCCCCATTATTCCCCTGTACATGTACGCGCTTTGCTAGTGAAATTGCAAAATAGGCTTATACATGCTAAGGTGATGGCTTCGCCCTCGAATTTATACGTTTTCGTTGCCTGCAAGCGCACGTGCTGAACAGTGGCGTGCGTAGTGTGTTAGTAGGCACTCACTACGCCCATGGAATGTAAATTTTAGAAAATGTGCAACCAGTGCAACCTGCTAAAGTTAATAAATAAAACGAAGGTCGACTGATACGGACATAAATTGAGCAAATTGTTTTGTACAGAACGGGCTGAACCCGAAAAGTTTGTGTTGCATTCTAACTACGTTGCCAAAATTATCAGCTGATCGAATTACGTAACGAGTAATACACTCGTGCGATAAATACTCGTCGCGTTTTCCTCAGTAGTTCTTTTGGTGTTTCAGTGGCTGTAGAAGGCACGTGTTTGTAACGCGAAAATGTTTCATTTAAAAACCATTCCCAGGAGTTTAACTCCGGCGAAAAGTAATGAAATCAAGGCCGCCTTGAAAATGTTACCCTCCGTTTTCCAAACACGCAATTACGCCGATCACAAAATTCCCGATAGACTAAAGGACATTCCCACTCATCCCAATCCGAAGTTCTTCGACATGGTCGAGTACTTCTTCCACAAAGCGTGCATGATCGTCGAGGATAAATTGGTAGAAGATCTGGCGCATCAGAAGGGTTCACGTATGGATTTGGCAGCGAGAAGGGCTAAGGTAAACGGTATATTGACCGTGATGGAGGAATGTAACCACGTCTTGGAAATTGCCTTTCCGATCAAGAGAGATAACGGAAACTATGAAATGATTAAGGGATACAGAGCCCAACATAGTTCACATAGACAGCCGTGCAAAGGAGGTGAGCCCAATTAATTGTTACTGTTTTATTTGTGATCAAGTATGTATCAGACCAAACATTTTTGTTTAGGGAGATTTTATTATCAGTAAAAATCACTAAATTACATAACCAATCCAATGGCTCACATGTTTTTAATGAATTCAATTTCAGGTGTGGGAACTTTATCAATTTGCATATACTTTAGTTGCAGGTAGTCTGAAGGATCTGCATTCTTACATAACTTAATGTTGCCAATGATTGGTTTGCGTTAGTTGAGTAGGGCGCTTTAAGCGGTTGAGTAGATAGAGTATCAATCAATTGATAGTAGTGTGAAGTATAATGGTAGTTATATAACAAGTCGAGAGAAAGCGATAAATTATCTCTAGGTCAAGTTGAATGTCTAGAACAAACTTATCCAATAGTACTTAATTTAGGGGGATTGGGTCATTATGTAAATGCTTTATGCCAAAATTACTCAGTACTCAGGTGACGGCCAAATTATGGTACATCTCTTATTGCATCTAAATCTTTACTTACCCATGCAGAGCAGAAAGTGCAGTAGTGCAATCGCAGTATCTAACTTTAGAAGGCCTCTGTGTGTAATTAAGATGTTTGATTTGTATTATTGTACTAGTATCTACAGCTACTACTAAAAATTCAATTACAATAAAGTAGTATGCTTTACAGGATCTTTGAACTGATTACTCATATTCCGAAAGGTAAGTCACAGGTAAACATCTTATACACCTGCTTCCACTTTCGACAAAACGTCACTTCTACTAGGAGTTTGGTTATGTTTGTAGTTTTATAATGATTCAGGTATATAATGCAGGCGCAGTTGATTTGAAACTTGATTGCGGTACTAAGGGTCCCTGGTTCGAATCCGGGTTTGGGCATTGATATTTGTAAATGTATAGTGGGCAGGCTTGACTGAAACCCCGCCCACTCAAAATAAAAAATGAACGTCAAAAATAAAAAAACAAAAATTTTTGAAAATTTAATTAATAAGTTGCCTTGCAATATCCTTATCTAAAACGACTCAACATAACTGAAAATACTGATTGGATGTTTTATAGCTGTTCCTCTAGTTTCCGGGAAACTTCCTAGCATAGGTCATGTACCTTCTATTTATTCATAAATAAATTCTTTTTAGTGAGTGCAGTTCCGTGTTTATTAAGCCTTTGTATATAATGGCGCTAATAAACATTTCTTTTCACAAAGTTAGTACATAAATTTATTGGCAATGAAACACTAATGTCTAACAAAAGCTATTTATAAACAATTGATATAAAAAAGACTAATTTTTTAACGGGTTTTAAAAAATCTCTCAAAGCTAGGATTTTTAATTGTTTTATTCAACGCTGTACTGTGTGTCTTATTTTGGTTGAGACGCAGTATATCTCAGCTGTTTTTAAAGATAGAGACTTGCGCTCGGACTTGCGGCTTTCGCGACCCAGTTTTTACGTAGAATCCAGTACCGTTTCTGAGATGTGATTCAAAGTTGGTATTTTCTAAATGCAACACCCTATACATCTTAACGTCCAGTTTTTACATTCTTTTCCCTGATTACATTGATGTATCACAACTGAGATCACAACCTATACTTTTTTTATAAGATTGTACGGGGTGTAATATAAAAAATGCCGCAAGCTGTACTGCCTACAGCTTTTGTCAGAAAACCATATTTAATGACTGTAAAAATACCACAAAACGGTCATAATTAAAATGTTTTAAATTATTATTTTCGTGGGTTACTATAATAGTTGACTTAAACGTTTTTAATAGCATGATTATATATTCTTAATTGAATTTGATAGAATTTGTCGCCCTAAAGTCACTTTTGATTGAAATTTTTTACACAAAAAATTAATTATCCAAAATTTTGTAGCATGCCATGGAAGCAATCCTCTTTACGCATCAAGTGTAAAAGAAATCGTGAGATATTTTATAGCATGCTATGGAAACAATCGTTTAATAGCTGTCATTACGTTTTAGTGTGGTTGCTTATTTTTTTTTAATGGATTTCAATCAATTAACTAATGTGTTACAAGTGTACTTTGAGTGCAATAAAAACTGTGGAAACTAACTTCCAGTAAAGATTTAAATCGCGATTTAAATAGTTTAAATGTGTGGTGCGGAATTTTTTTAAATCAATTACATAATCAGACCGAGGGGGTAACATCTTCCCGCAATACTGTCACAAATTGTTTGCAATCGCTTACAATCCCTCTGATTGCTGTGGAAATCTCCCTCACAGTCCCACAATCGCGTTTGCAATCTCACAATCGCCTAAAAGAATCCCGCAATCAGATTCGCAATCCAGCAATCGTTGTGACAATCTGACAATCACATTGGCAATCGTGCACGCCCTAGCCTGTTTTTAGGTACAATCACACGCCACGCGGGGTTAGGCAAAAAAGTTATTGCACCTAACTTTATTTTTTTTAATGGAAAGCCCTGTACTACTTAATAAACCCCTAAAGCGGATTTAAAAAAGCGGCACAGCACCTCGGAGTAACCCTACGCATCACTGGATTTGACTCATTTTCAATTGCCTTGTTACATGTGGTATATATGTTAACTGTGCAAAGTTTGGCGTTTGGCAGTTATGGAGTTCACGGACGGACAGACGGACACCATCAACTTCCCTATAAAGCTTACATCGCTTTCCTCTGCCGCTTAATAATCTACAAATATAGCATATTAACTTTTAAAAAATATAATACACTAAGGATGATTCAAAAAGGGCTCAAAAAAGATTTAAAAAAGGGTCAAACGATTTGATAAAATACAACATTTCAAAAAAAATTTGAATCTTTCGGTTTTTTATATCTTTTGAATCTATTGAAATCAATATGGAATTTTTGTAGTGTTATATTTTGGAAAAGAGATTCGTAATATGTTAGTTTTTGATTAAAATATTTCAATTTAAAAATGCACGTAGGAAATTCAAAAAATTGTAAATCTCAGAATGAACCTATATTTATTAAAGGAGATATAGCAAGATTTTTCTTAAAAGTTTCTTTATAAGACTGTTGAATAATGTGCCGTTTTAAAATAAGTGTACGGGATCCGGTAAAAAAGTTATAGAACCTAACCCCCGAGCTAACCCCTGACCTAACCCGAGACCTAACGTCATTTTTTTTAGTGGAATGCTCTGTATATTTCATTCGAAAAAGAGCATATTAAATTCACTTTCTAGAAATATAACACTAACTAAATTTAAAAAAGTGCAATATTAGATTTTTCAAAAAATTTCAAAATGTTTAATTTTTGTTGTTTTTTAATATTTGAATCTTTCTTAAATGTTTTAATTCTTTTTTAATAATTTTGAATTTTTTGTTTTCCAGTCCAGTACCTTTTTTGCGGACATCGTATATGTACCTAACCTATTTTGAAAACGGCAGATTACCCAGCAAGTAGTTTTGTAATAAACATTTTTTCGTGTCTCTTTTCATTCTGATATTGACAATTTTTGATTTTCCCTTGTATCTCTGTAAGCGAGCGAATGTTTTCAAATTTTTGATTGTGCCATTTTTTAACTTTGTTAAGTTATTTAAATAAAATTTTGTACGTAGGCATCTCGAATAAAGATTAAACTAATGCCAAATCAAATAATTTGTTTTGCGCATGCCCAGAAATACCCTGAAATTTTAGGGTAGGGTTCTTTTTATAAACTGAAATTGAAGCAGCAAGTCAAAAATGGATTGCACATGTGCAACGCTAACTTTCTTATTTGTAGCCGGATTTTTACGAAATTTTAATAAGTTTGCTTGCTTGCATCTTACAGTATGGGAAATGAATGCAATTGTAATGCGCTTTTTATAAATCGTTTACGACGAGGTTTACGATTACCTTTTTAACTTCTTATTTGTGTGTTTAAAGGTACCTGTTACCAACTAAGAATTCCCTAATAGCCAACATAAATGAATATGTTTCTTGCTTACGTAATGCCCGTGTATAGCAACTTGAGCAGCTACCAGAAATCTTTGTCAGTCACCCACAATCACCTGCAATCATTCATAATCACATGCAATCACAATGCAATCCTCTAAAATCCAACAATCGCATCGCAATCGCAGGATTGTGGTCGCAATCGCAGCAATCGTAGGGAAATCACAAAATTTGAGAAGATGTTACCCCCTCGAATCAGACCATTGTTTATTGACGCCCAATCAGCAACGGTACCATGACATACTGACTGAAAATCTACAGGCAGAATTAAATGGGTTGTATTTTCAACAAGACGGGGCCGCACCACACAACTCCTCTCTACTAAATGTAAATTGGTTCACCACTATTTTCGTGCAAGGTGGGTACTCAGTGTATGGAGTAATTCGTAGGTGCCAGTTGTGCATTGAGCAATTAAGCAATTTGTGTAGAATTAACCGCACGTTGGCACGACCATTCAAATACTCCTCCAATGAAACACCGTGGTCATTTGACTGGACGGTGATCGGACCACACCTCCGTATGTGAACAGTTGATAATAAATACATGCTAAAATAATTGAATAAACTTTGCAGGATTTTTTGAACATTTCAATTGGAAGTATATAATTATTATTTGATATTATGTATTAAATAAGATAAAAAAGTAAAAATATCAGCGAAACCACATTTTGTTATCTGTTTCCTAAGCACAGATATGACTAAAATACATACGTTCACAAATTTTAATTGCAATATGTATTTATAGTCATCCAAGTTGGCTTTGAAACAAAAGAACACATAACAAAGACAATTAAAATTAATTAGTTTAGGAAACAGATATCAAAATGCGGTTTTCCATCTTATTTGATAATATATAATAATTATATCGTCCTCTTTGAAGAAAACTTGCAAATGTGTTGCTTTTTAAATTGTTTTTAATGTGTTATACGAGGTGTTATATGTTACATATGTTTGTTTTATACGACTTGTCTTATATCCAAATCTTGTGATCAACTAGACCAAATATATATTATTATTATTATTATTATTGTTATTAAAGTTTATGTTAATGTCAAATCGCGCCCTCTGCTACTCGTCACATTTACTAAAAGGAAGTTACATTAAATTCCTTAAAGAGGTGTACCTTTCTCCCACCCCTAATATGTTATGAGCTAGAGCAGTATGTGCTCGGTGCTGCATCAAAATGACGCAAACTTCATACAAGATTGCGATTTATGTATTTTTATGCAGGCATGGTATATTTTAGGAAAAAAACCATTTTTCTACTTAACCATGACTTGTACGCCTTCTAGCGGCAAACTTAAAGTTGAAAATAATTTCCAGCGATTTCTCTTGGCCTCTTTGGTTAACAAAATCTTTTTCCCCAAGCTGTTCCAATGCTGTCATAGATATAGCCTGTGCCCTTTATTAATAGGACACCCTATAGATGATTAAGGGCATGTAAACCAGTTGACCCATGTGTGGAACTTGAGAACCTTATGGGTTACACTAAAAACATTGAATGTCAGTTTTGACAGTGATTACTGTATAGCCTTAAAATGACACTTTGTCTTATTAGAATGAAAGTATGTAGCATTATAAAAATAAGATGGTATGCGACAAAGGTATGTACGAGTTCACAACGTTCAATACCCGATAGATTGAAGGACGTTCCTACCGCGAAAAATCCGAAATTCTTCGATATGGTAGAATACTTTTTCCATAAATCTTGCATCGCCTGCGAGGAGAAACTAGTGCAGGATTTGACTTGCAAAAAACGATCGAATCTTGAGGATAATAGGGCGTTGGTGCGAGGTATCCTGCAAATGCTGGAGGATTGTAGTCATATGATGTCTGTTAGCTTTCCGATTAAACGAGATTCCGGCATGTATGAGATGATTAAAGGATATCGGGCGCAGCATAGTGCTCATCGGCTACCTTGCAAAGGCGGTAAGTTTAAATATCTGCAAATCAATGTGGCTAATAGCTCTAATCCAACTGAATATTCCATCCATATGAGGGATGAGATCTCAACATGGAAGGTCGTACACACCTAGTTGAGGTCTTGTTTGATAGATTATAGGTTCCCCCGAAATTGCCTTGATGCACAATCACTAACGTGTGTGTTGGGCCTTGATGCACAATCACTAACGTGTGTGTTGGGCAATTTCCACGAGAACGCCGCAAAAAGCGCTATTGCAATAGGCAGGGTCAAGATGCTAATCTACGTAAATGCACTATCGTCATCAGGACACGTGCAGTGACTTGTTGCGAAAGATTTCAGTCTCGAGGAGCTTTCAGCAACAAGATTATTACTATGCAGCGAATGTATGAGCTGATCTTCCAGATGTTTTTAATTTGGGAGGAGGATCAACAATATTTCCATTCCTCGCGATTTTTCTAGTCTAGTTTGGGATATTCCAGTGTTTTTCAGAGCAATTGAAGGGACCACATAGGCTTCTGGGCTTTTCACAACCCCTTTCTAAATCTTTCGAGCAGTCTTCTGCCGTTTCTAGTCTTTAACCAGATCTTTTTTGACTTTTCCAGGCTCGCATATCTTGATACAGGGCATAGACAGCTCGAAAAATGGTCTTCAGAGCTTTTCTAGACTCCAGGAGAATATGTTGCATGAGGAGATGTTTCTGTTGCTAATTCACTGAGCATGTACATTTTCCGCTACAGGAAAACATAAACTGTGAGAATTTAAAAAAAAAAAGTTCCCAACCCGTTATAATAGGAGTCTCTGAAAAACATTTTAATGTTCCCTGGGAAGGAAAGATTTCCAGGAACATCCTTTTGAGCTTTCTAGGCTAATCTATCTCAGGAAAAGACATGTAATATTCATAAGAGCTGCTCTATGTTGTTGAATAATTCAAATAATCTGGCTATTTGATCCCAGTGTAGTGGTAGAATATTTTGTTTTTAAAATACACATAGAAATTATCCTGTATCAGGTCCTCAAAGTTTTTGAAACAGTGCTTTAAAAAAAGTCTGTAAATCAGAATTTCATAATTAGTTTTGTACGTTCCTACATTCCAGCCCCGTACTTTGAATTTTTGTCGAATTCTTCGGTTTCTTGAGATTCTTTAGTTTCTTCGGACTCCCCATACTTTGAATTATTTATTAACATATTATTGATACTCAAAAATGTAACACACATTGACACATCCCTGTGACACAAGCAGGAAGTTTAATTAAAGTCAATTAAATAATGTTCACGTGTTCCACATTATTCATTTGCTGTTTTTTTAATTGTTTACATCGTGAATTTGAATGTTTTGGTGTATAAATCAAACCAAATTACACGTTTACGTGCGTGGGACATCTGCCAATATTGTAAAATATAAGTCAAAAGTGGCAACGAAAAATGGGACATTCGTCGTGCACACATGATCCTTGAAATTATTTATGCCCAATGCTAATTATATCCCGGCTGACTCTTCGTTTGTTATTAGCAGGTGTGTTATTCTTGTTCTTGGAATGGGCGCTTATTCGTAATTATAAAGGCCTTGTGAAATGGCTTGTGTAACAGTTAAATTTGGAAGTTGTTGTTTACAAATGATTAGCGCAAATGAAATGTTGATCAAGTAAAATATATTTTGACTGTTAAGTAATTCTTTCGAGCATTGATAAGCATTTGGAAATGTGACCCTAATTTGTGTAAGATAAACTTTGTGTGACGTATTTTGGTAAACTTTTAGGATTATACACTATAATTAGTACTGTCACTTCATGATAATTATGGTGCCGTAACACTTTTTACAATTTTATATAAAACTTCTTTTTTTTCTTATTGAATGTCTACCTTTAATTTACGGGACACCAGTAGTCTATATGAGCTTCTTAAATGAGTTGGTATCAGTGACAAAATTTGAATTAAATTGTATTTTAGATACCTTTTAAAGTAATTAGGTGTCATTTGCGTATTAAACAAACAAAAAACGAAAAATGTGTACTGTAGAGGGTGGTCCAAATTGGATACTTCCTTATGGAAATTCCCTTACTATTTTAAAAGATAGAAAAAAATGGACCTAGGTGTCTAGAGCTCAATTTTAAAGAGAAAATAACTGGCTGATGCTGGTGCAAACAGAAAACGAAATCTCTAATCTTTTGGCCGCTAGGGGGCGTTTCTCGAATTTAGTCGAGCTCCATAACTCTTATTAGGAATGGATGGAAAGAGTATTAGCAGTTACAGGCCAATCTCTATTTTGCCTGTTTTCAGCAAGGTCATAGAGAAACTTCTGTATAAACAAGTAATTGACTTTTTTGAATCTAATAAGCTGCTCTATCAGTATCAATACGGTTTCAGGAAAGGTAAATGTACTTCTGACGCAATTATTTCTTTCACCGCGAAGGCTTTACACTATTTCGAAAATAAGCAACACATGATAGCTGCTTTTGTTGATCTCACTAAGGCTTTTGATTGTGTATGCCATGATACTTTAGTCCGCAAGCTTAGTGAGGTGTATCACTTTAGTAAACGGAGTTTGTCATTAGTGTCTTCATTTTTGTCTAATAGGTATCAATGTGTCCTCTTTAACAATGCAGTATCTAACAAATTACACATCAAATACGGCGTACCGCAAGGCTCTATCCTTGGACCCTTGCTGTTTTTAATTTATGTTAACGATCTACCATCCCATTTGCCACCGCAGACGCAATGTATTTTGTACGCAGATGACGCTACACTAATATCGAGTAGTATGTGTTATGATTCGGCTTATGCCAACATTCAAGACGGCATCAAACTTATTTCTCGATGGTGCACTGATAATACTTTGAAACTAAATCCTGCTAAGACTACTATCTTGCCTTTATCTTTAAGAAAAGATAATATCGTCTCTAATGGTGCTCATTTCACATTTCTGGGTTGTGTGATTGACAGCAAATTAGACTTCAAATATCACTGCGATAATTTGTCCAAAAAATTGAACACGTCGATATTTTTACTTACTCGGTTGCGCAACTGCACATCTTTAAATACCATTAAAGCAGCATATTTTGGTTTTGTGCATAGTTCTCTCTCATATGCCATCCTCGCTTGGGGACACAGTTCTCATTGGCAATGCTTGTTCAAACTACAACGTAGAGCTGTTCGTGTTCTGGCATCTTTAGGTTATAGAGACGATTGTCGTCAAGCATTTATCGATCTCAGAATCTTAACACTTCCTTGTATTTATATTCTTGAAGCCCTGTGCTATGCTAAACGAAATATATCTCTTTACACACAACAAATTGACGTACATACTCATCACACAAGAAAAAAAAACAATATCCGTACTGATCTATGCAGACTCAAAATCACAAGAAGGAGTACAGTACCAATGCAAACATTTATACAACTGCCTTCCCTTAGATATAAGGATTTTAGACTACCCCATATTTAAGAGACGCATAAAAAATTTTCTTCTATGTAACGCATTTTATTCTTTTAACGAGTTTGTGGCTAGTGGTAGATTATGTAATTAGTTAGCGTTTTTATTGCGATTTTACTGTTTTTACCTGTCTGTTTTTAGTTTGTTTGTTATATTGTTTGTTATATACTATTATTTTTAATGTTTAATGTAATTTCCCGTTTCTTTTGACGAGTGTAAGTGTAATTCACCTTCTCACAATAAATATTATTATTATTATTTTATTATTATTATTAAAAATACTTGATTTTGCAAAATCTTCTTATGGCACTTTAATGTAGAATCAATCGCGATACCAGTTTTTTATACGTTCCGTGAAGTTGGCCACCCGCCCATTGTTTCTATTAAATCATTTTTTGTATCACATCGTTTGTTTACGTTTGTTTAACTATTTTCATCGTTTGTTTGCATTTCCGTATGTCTTTTTTAAAAATTCCAAATGAGCGAACTAACTTCACGGTGGCTGGCCCAAAATCATAATGTTGTTAAGTTTGCAAGTCATTTGTTTATGGTCTGTGGGCGCGTAAACTTTACTGTCATTATATTATTTTTCATCACGATATGCATCTTTTTAAAAAATGTTAAATGGAAAATTAACTTTATGGTGGTGCAGCGACAATTCGCTTATGAACTCTACAATTGTAGCAGTAGCATGCATGCGGTGATTAGGTAAACGTAAAAGGCTCTAATAAATTAGTCACTGTTCTTCAAACAATTCTCTAATTTTCATATTAAAATGTACGATGGTACTTAGAACTGCCTACCGTTTTAATACAATGCGATAAAAAATGAGTTGCTGTCGAGTCACCTTTGGAATTTTTGTTTACATGGGAAATTGTACCACAGATTTAATAGTAATAGTAATAGTTTTTTCCGCTCCCGAGCGCTTTTTCCGCTCTTGAGCTTTTTTTCCGCTCACGAGCACTTTTCCCAAGCGCTCGCGATAAACCACTCGAGCACTTTTAGGAGTGTTCGGAACTCGCAAGCGGTCTCGCGTTGAAATTATGGATTCTACAGGCCATGTTCTATAAGAAATTTTTTTTCCGGGTCAATCTGAGACAAATTTTTTTTCGGGCCTCAAAAAAAGGCAATGTATAACCTTCCTTTTTACCAAAAATCGACCGCACCAAAATTTATCGGGAAAACACGTTTTCTTATTAATTTTGGTGCGTAGAATCCAAAACAATTCGTACTTTTTCGATCAGACTGCTCAATCAAAAGTTATACACTAGAAACCAATTTCGAAAGAAAATTCAAAGGGCTGTTACTTTTGAACTAGTATGCCAATCGGATACGATTTACATTTTGGATAGTTTTGAAAATAGTGAGTTGTGTGTTGCCAATTTTTTAGACTTAACAAAGGCTTTTGATTGTGTAACTCACTCTTGCTTGTTGCAGAAGCTGTCAAAATATAATTTTGTGGACAAATCAGTTGCATTATTAGAGTCGTACCTAAGTAATCGCACACAATATGTTTATAATGATTCCGAATCTAATTTTAAAGAAATTAATACGGGAGTGCCGCAAGGTTCGGTACTTGGCCCTGTGCTCTTTTTGATAT